CTGATTTAAATCAGACATCTGCTGAAACCAACCAAAACCAAAACACATCTTGTAGAACTTTTTTTTTTATTTTTTTAAAAAATGAGCTCCTAATCGGGTACAGATTAAAACACTGACTTATTTAGAATTTATTAAGTCCTAATTTGATTAGGCGACACTTTGGATGCGCCGTGCGTAAAGTTAGGAGGCTGGTTTTTACGCAGCGCAAAAAGAAAAGCAGTGGCAGCGCGTGCACGTCTCCCCGACGAGACTCTTTTTTTTTTCTTCTTTTCAGTAAAAACGTTTAAGGCTTCAGTCCCAGTTTTTCATGCAGGAGCACGAAATGGCTCCCAGAGCTCGTGCTGCCTGGCGTCTCCTTAAGCTCCCGTTTCAATTCTAGTAAAACTCCTTCCACCAAAACAAAAAGTCCCCAGCGGCTCTTCTTTAAAAAAAATACTGTTGGTTCTGTTTTGAAATCACAGGAATCAACTCTCAGTCTTGTTTTTTTCTTCTTTTTTTTAAATTTTTTTCTATTTTTTTAAACAAATAAAGAGTTGGCAAAGTTCAAATATCAATCCTCGTGTGTAACGCCGAGTGTTTGCTCTCGTGTTCCCAGTAGGAGCAGTGCATCATGGACAGCTCCGGGGGCTGGCGGGAGCACGCGAACTGAAGGCCCGCGCCGTTGCTGGAGGAGACCGGCGGAGGCGCGGCGGTGGCCGGGCTCAGCTGCTGCGCGTGGTGGTGGGAGTGCGCCGGGTGGTGGTGGTGGTGGCTCATGCCGTTGTAAGAGTTCACCATGCCGGGCAGCGCCATGCTCTGCACGCGGGAGTACGGGTTGTAGGAGGGGGCGGCCGTCAGCCCCTTGACGTTCACCGGACTCACGTTCCCGCCGGCCATCTGACAGGACGTGTAGGACATGGGGGCCGGCGGCTGGCCCAGGGACCACGAGTTGTTCATGAAGCTGGACTGCAGGTACTTGGGCGGGGACAGGTAGCCGTAGCCGTCCCCCGCGAAGAGGCCCTTCCCGTGCTGGAAGTGGGTCGGCGGGGGTCTGAAGGGTCGCTTCATCCTGCGCCTCCTCCTGTAGTTGCCCTTCTCGAACATGTCCTCGCAGGCCGGGTCCAGGGTCCAGTAGTTGCCCTTCCTCTCGCCGCCCCCCTCGCGCGGCACCTTGATGAAGCACTCGTTGAGGCTCAGGTTGTGCCGGATGCTGTTCTGCCAGCCTTTCTTGTTCTTCTCGTAGAAGGGGAACTTGCTGATGATGTACTGGTAGATGCCGGACAGCGTGAGGCGCTTCTCCGAGCTCTCGCGGATGGCCATGGCGATGAGAGCCACGTACGAGTACGGCGGCTTCTGGGACGGGTCCGGCTTCTCCGTGACTTTGACCTGGACCGGCTCCTCTTTGAGCCGTTCCTTGTCCTTGCTGGTGTTGGTGTCATGGATCATTAAGGCCATCTGGTCCTCCTCCGGGCTTTGGTAAGTGGCCATCATCGCGCGCACCAAAACCAAAACAAGAGTCCACTGCGGCGGCTCGGCTGCAGACAGAGACCCAGACTTGTTGTCGGATCAGGAAAACAAGTCGCTCCTCGCAGAACCTCAGGGTGCAGCTCGATCTGACAACTCTTTATTTACTTGTTTTATTTGTTTTACACCAGACCTGCCTCTTTCTTCAGCTGGAATTACTCTAAACCACTTTCAGAGACGCAACTCAGGTCGTGTGTAGGGAGTCAGTAAGCCCAGCCCTTCTCTCTCTCTCTCTCTCTCTCTCTCTCTCTCTCTCTCT